ATGTATTACACTTATAGTCATAATCTTCTAGTTATGGGAAGATACATTGGCTTAACATTTATTAGGCATGTATAAGTTTTAAGGTAACCTTGTTTGTGTAATAAAAACACATTTTGCTTTAAATTAAATATGAAACAATAACAGGAGGAATGTAGATAAAAATCAAGATAGTTTAGGAAGTACCCAACTGCTTAAAATTTAGAGAAAACCAATTATGTAATTATCTACATGAAATACACCAAAGAACAAATGCCCTTCCACATTTTCAGAAAGTGTGTAACATACTACCCATCAATCTAGGTATTAATTATCAGTAAAACGTTTAACCTCTCTACACTTCAATTTCTTCGTAAGTAAAAGGGAGCAGACATTAGAAGCTAAGTTATAAGGTTAATGATGTTTACAGGGGCTTAGCTGTGGTCCTGGCAGACCAGAAATGCTCAGGAGATAGAAAAGATGGTTAGTTCAGGATGGAGTCTGATCTTTGTGCCCAGGAGGGATCACTTCTGAGAACTTCTACCTCCAGGCTTCCTACTGGGTTTGGCCTGTACGGAGCCTCAGCAGGAAATGGGAAAATGAGAGGAAAGAAGGGTCAAAATATTTGGTTTATGGCTCACTATCTGCAGGTTAGCCTCAAACTAAGATTCATGGCAACAGCCCAGAAACAAAACTTGCAAGCAAATGTCTAACATGTTTGATCTGGTCCCCCTGTCTTCATGCTCTTCTTAGTCATAAGCTTAGTTTAAGCCTATTTTTTTAGACCTTTTGATGCAAATACCCTGTGTGTGCACATGCGTGTTTTATGTTCCCTAAGACTGTTCTCAAGACAGGCAATTTACTCAAAACATACTACTGGGATGTGTGAATGAATGAGTGGAATAAATTTCCTTATGTTCATGAGTTGAAAAGGTGTAACACTATCAGAATGTCAGTGTTCCCCCAACTAATTCTCACATTCAAAACACTTCCAGCTCTGCAGAGAAGACTCCATCCTAATCCTTGAAACCTCATGGGGCACAGCAAGGAGGGGTTAAAACTGCAGTCAGAAGTAAGGATCTTCCTGAGAGAACTTTCTTGAAAATAGTGATACCTTACATTGTTTGGGTGAACCCATGTCATCTCCAGATTCCTTCAAAAGTGGAAACATAAATATCAGAGTGACACAACGTGAGAAAGGACAGTCTGACTATTCCTGACTTGAGCGTGGACAAAGGTCATGAACCCATAAACGCTGGTGTCTTCTAAGGGGAAAAAGGAAGAAAAACGAATCTGCATTAAGCAGAAGGAGCCAACCTAGATCTTTTTTATTAAGATTTTTATTGTGAAAATGCTGTACAGAGGGGTTACCGTTACATGAGCAAGGTAATGAGTACATTTCTTATCCAGCATTATTTAGATCTATATTGTAGCTTTGTGACACATACTTTGAACTTCTGACATCCAGAAACAATAAATAGTACATGTGTGTAGCTTAAAAATGAAGAATGAAATACGTCACCAGATGGCATGTGAACAGAGTTGTGATTTGATCAATCTGGCTTGTTTAACCATTCCTTCAGTTCCAAATGCAAACCTATCAACTGTAATTTCTTTTTTCCAATTACTCATAGACATCTGTAGATACTGTATTTATTTGCTTGTTTCTTTACACCTATGTGTCATTCCCAAAAAGGCCTAGACAGCTTTCCAGGGGTATATAAGACTCAAATGGAACTAACTAAAAATGAGAGGGAAGGAAGGATTTGTAAGTAAAGCACCTGCTCTGTGGGAGGGGAGAGAAGCTTCTTTGCTCTTAACAAACAACATCTCAGTGATGTAAGCGGATGACCATTGAGAGAAACATCTGCAAACAACCATGTCCTAGAAATTTTATGAATGGATTATGAATTGCCCACAATATTCTATAGCCAACATGAAAAGGTAATTTAGTGAATCATAATTCAAAGCAGCTTCTGCATGAAAAGGGACCAGGTTCTCAGATTTAGCCACTCTTCATTGTGAGGACTCACATCTCACAAATGCCAGCACACACTACACTGTTGGGGTGGAAGAGTTCCTTCAGTGAAGATCATGCTGTCTTAATCAAAGTTATTCAGGCTCACCATGAGGGCAAGAGCCCAGGCAAAGCAGATTCACCATGCCTTGGAGTAGGAAAGAAATACATTCCAAGAAAACTAATGAAAGAGTAGCCTACTTGTGTTGCTGCATCATATTTGCTAGTTTCCTTTCCCTATGTCTTTATTATTTTAGGTAAGAAGCACAAGAGGCGTTTTCAGTTGTTGCTGTTGTCGTTGTTGATTGGTTTGTTTGTTTTGTTGTTGTTGTTGTTTTTGGGGGGGTCAGGTTGTAGGGCCTGAACTCTGGGCCTGGGCGCTGTCCCTCAGCTCTTCAGCTCAAGGTTAGAGCTCTACCACTTGAGCCACAGCGCCACTTCCGGCTTTTTTCATTTTGCTTATGTGGTGCTGAGGAATTGAACCCAGGGCCTCAGGCATGCAAGGCAAGTGCTCTACCACTGAGCCACCTTCCCAGCCTCTGTTGATTGGTTTGTGATACTGAGGATTGAACGTGAGGCTTCATACTGGTTAAACAGGTGCTCTCCTGTTGAGCCCTGTTTTGTACTGGTTATTTTTGTAAGTTTTATTTTATTGTAAAGGTGCTGTACAGAGGGGTTACAGTTACATGAGTACGGCAATGAGTACATTACTTGTCCATCAATGTTACCCCTTCCCTTGTTATTGACCCACTATCCCTTCCCTCCCCCACCTCCCACACTCCTCTCCACCACCCCCCCACCCAGAGTTGTAAAGTACTGGTTATTTTTGAGATAGGGGTCTCAGTTCATGCCTGGGCACACATCTGGGGCACGATCCATCTACTTTAGTCTTTTTGTCATAACTAGGATGGTAGGCCCATGACAGTATGCCAAGCATCTTCCATTGAGATGGAGTCCCATGGATTTCTCTGCCCTGACACTGCAATGTTCTCACTCTCGGCCTTCCATCTAGCCAGGATGAGACGTGTGTGTCACGGTATCCAACTATTGGTTGAGAAGGTGTCTTGAGATATGTCTGCCAGGCAGACTGCGATCTTTCTGGGCTCAGCCTCCCAAGTAGCGAGCATTACAGATGTGTGCCACCGCTATACAGTTAGAACTCAGTATTTTTACAGTGGTCAAATATAAATATAATCTATCTGAAAAGATATATAGTTGAGCCTAAGTTTCATATAGAGTTGAGCCTGAGTTCCTAAGTTTGGTGTGAATCCTACCTGCCATCCTTTCTGAGACATGAAGGAGGAGAAATAGCAATGAGACAGACCCTATCAGAAATTTGGAGCTATTCCTCTAAAATGGCTATTCACTTACATAACAGATTTTGTTAGGCAGCTTCTTTCCCCTGCCCATATATCAGGTATTTTTCACAGTCAGACATATCTAGATATGAATTCTGGGACTGTCAATTTCTGTCATACCTTAATTTCCTGGGACCTTGGTTTCCTCATGTTGAGTTGTAAATATCACTTAATGTAATTGTTGTCTTCAGCATAACACAGTTCCAGGTAAAAAACAGATAATAAATACACAGGCAGGTTTTTAAAAAAAAATTAACAAGATGAAGTAATGAACTACTCAACAGGTTTGTGGGTATTTGGTGGTGGTACTACTAGGGTTTTTAACTTGGGACTTCCAATTACTTACGAGGTGCTCTGCCATTTGAGCCAAGCCTCTGATTAGAAAAATTAGGGCTGCGTCCATTTTACAATTTACTAACTGCTGACTCTGCTTCTGTAAACTTGCTTGCTTGCGTTAACACCACCCCCCTCCCTGGAAATAAAGAATTGGGTAAAGTCTCAGAGCCCAGATGTCGGCCCCAGGACAAGGTCAGTGGTCGTAGATAAAGAACAGACAGTACGTGTTCCTCAGTTCCCATTTAAAAATTCCCCAGACAGGACCTTGAGATAACGACCACCTGGCAAGACCACACGCTAAGCCAAATGTCAACCAATCATAGGCCTGTAACCATGTAATCCCCCCCCTTAAACCAACCATGGGCCAGTCATTTTACAAAGAGTGTTACAAAATTTCCCGCGTGGCAAAGTGATTGTTGGTGTATATGGTGACCTTTAAATGGACCAATCATGGGATGCTTTGTGTTATGCGTTAATCTTGTGGTTTTTGCCTTTTAAAAAGGGCTTGTAACCGGTGCTCGGGGCTCCCGGTCTGCTCGGGACAGAGAGTCCGTTTTCGCAAACGTCAAATAAACTCCTCTTGCTTATTGCATCTCCCAGCCTGGAGTCTGAGTTTTCTGGGGCGCCCTCCCGTTGACGAAAGTATCCCAAGGAGTCTGGGGTCTTTCACCTCCAGTCCTCCTATTTGAGTTAATTTTCAGATCAAATCTTGCAGTTTTTGTTTTGCATGAGCTTGGACCACATCCTCCAGCATATGTCTCCTACATGACAGTGTATTAATTGAAATAGTCTCATCTTCCTCCCCCCAGTTGGCTCCCAATTGTGATCCTCCTTCAGACCTCTGCCTCCTATGCAGCTGGGATTGCTCCCCATGCACAGCCCCAAGAGCGCTTGACAGTGGACAAAAACCACTAAATTTTTTAAATTATCTCAGTATAGTGGTTAAGAGCCTGGGCTGACAGTGTCTAGAGTCTCAGGCAAGCTGTGCAAGTATTCTCTGTCTTAGTTTTCCATCTACGAATAGGGTAATGGTCATAGCATTTATATGGGAATGTTGTAGCTACTGTTAGATGAGGATGATGGGGTCTTTGGCATCTGCAATGTAATAAGCATTCTGTAATGGTTAGTGTCATTACTTATCCCATGTAAATATAAATACAACATTATATGACTTTGGTTTTTCAGCATGTCTCTCCTGGTCCTGATGCTAGAGATTTTAGAGTTTTCCAAAAGGCTAATGAAAAGGTTATATAAACTAATTGTTTGGCTTTGGGACTCACCTCTCTTTTCCTGTTTTATCTATGTTTCTGCAGGATTTCATCGTCACTGTTGTCTTTTCATTCTTGTGGTTGGTGGGTTCATCTGCTTGGGCAAAAGGACTATCTGATGTGAAAGTCGCAACAGATCCTAAGGAAGTGTTGTTACTGATGTCCGCTTGCAAACAACCGTCCAACAAGTGCATGGCCGTCCACAGCCCTGTCATGTCTAGCTTGAACACATCTGTGGTAAGTAAGATTTCATCTAGGCTTGACATCCCAGGTCTTCATTTGCTAGCCACAAATAAGAAATCACCTTTATAATCATCTTGGAAATGTCTGCCTCCAAATCCAAGGTTAATCATTTCAGTCTAGGGACAAGATGATCTTTTTGCCTTCAGGTTTTTAATTGTCAGAATTGATGCACTTTAATGCCACCAGTTCTGGAGTTCTTAGTTAAAAAAAAATCCTAGCAAGTATTAACGGTTGCAGACTAAATGACAGTCAAGCCAAAATTCTAAGCCATAGCAGATATAAAACCTAAATGTTCAAGCTGAATCCTTCCAGAACTTAAAAGGAATATTTGATGGCACAGACATTTCCTGGGAGGGAAAACGTTATTCAAGCAACACATAGTTAGAGTACACCCAATAAGCTTCATATAAATATTCAGGCTTCACAGAATGCCAAAGAAAATACATGATATGCGAAAGTACTTATAATAGCTATGGTGATTTTTAAAATTTTTTCTCCATCCCCCAGTTTAGTTGCTTGATAGCTTTGTTTGAAAGGGTGCACTAAATTAGCTGAACAAAATCAAATATTGTCATCAAGTGTATGGCTCTTACAGAGAAGGAGGGAAAGTAAGTTAGTAAGGATGTCCTAAATTGGATTCTTAATTTATAAGTGGGAGAACTTGTGTTCTTCCACAGAAAGAAGCTGTGTCTGGAAAAGACAAGCTGTAATGGCAACACGAAGTGGCACTTATGGAAGAATAGGAGGCTCAGAAGTACTGGTTAAAGGAACAACATGCTTTAGCAAATCCTAAAAATAATTACCTTTGCGTCAAGGTTAGTGTGTGGTGTTCCAGCTTTGTATAAATCAACCTAGGAAGGCACTTACAAAGAAGGAAATGTTGCTACCCTCGTGATGGTCTAAGCGGGAGCCCTACCTTGGTTAGACAGTAAGCCTGTACATAAACTTGGTATTAGGAGCTCATAATCATTATCATTTATTTTGAGATGGTTATTACATGCATTAGCATACAGCATGGTTGCTTCTGTAACTTGTTTGTAGACAGCATTTGATCAGCGTGACTAATCTTAAAGTGAAAAGGACATGATTGCTTACTGTCTTTGTTTATCTCATAATTTCCGAACAATGTGGAAATTACAGAGTTCCAAATGATCCTTTTAATTCTATCTCTGGCACCACTAATGCTAAAAGATAAGAATTATGAATGAAAACAATTATCTCCTGAAATCACATTGCATTGTTTGGATTGAAACAAAACAATATGACATGTAGGAAGGGCAAGTTTAGTGGTGTTATAACTTATATATCTATGTCAGTTAAAAGTCTTTGAGCTCCAGAACACATACATATTCATGGATACATATATACATATTAGGAGTAATATGCAATTATATAATTAATCTATAATTATAGATGCATATTGTATATTAGTATATTTGTTGTTTCATGTTACATATTAAAATAAATATGAATACATCAATATTAAACATCTATGAAGACATGGAGACTCAATGAAAGCTGTTGATCAATAAGAGATGGGGGAAAGAGGAAAGCAATAGATAGGGTTATTTTGAGCAAAACACAATATATGTATATCTAAAATACCATGGACAGACCATATAGTCCAATTTTAATACACATTAAAAAATTCAATGATAGGAAACTAAAACAGGTTTTGTTGGAGTGTGGGAACATGTGAGAGGGTTGGGCTAACAAGGTGCTGAATAAGGATAAATATGATGAAAACAGTTTATTTGCCTGTATGAAAATACAACAGTGAAAACTGTTGAGATGGTTTTAAGACCAGGAAAAGAGTAAGGTAGCGTGACAAAGGAGGGAAGATTAATAGAAATGCATTTGTACCTATCTGGAAATGCCATAATGAAACTCTTCTCATATAATTAATGTATGGTAATAAAAAAGAAAAGTTTGCTAGCCCCCTATAATGGGAATGTCATTTTAAAGTGCCTAACACAAAAATGCTCTTCATATCCTTAATGTCGGTTCTATAGACCCCACTTCTGGCATAATGTCTACATTCATTCAAGTGTTTAGATTGCAAAGCATATAAACAGACTCTACTTTCATCAGGGAAAAAAATGTCCTTGGAAAAACACCAAGCAGCTGGTGAGCCTAACAAGATTTGAAGAAGCAAGAATGGGCAGGATCTAAGGAGGAATTGGCATTCTAGAAGCCATTGAGCTGTCATTACTAGGAAGTTTCGCCTAACCTGACATTTCTCCATCTCAGCTGCAGGAGAGAACTCAAGCCGATTGGTTGAAACTTGGCTCTGCAAAAGAAGTCATGTTTTATTACCAAAATCAGGGGACAGGATATTAATCAGCCAAAGCACATTTTTTAATTACATACTTGTTTGCCTTCAAGTCATATTGAGTTGGCTTATGCAAAACACTAGAAAATAATCATAAAAACATGAGGGATATGCCTTCTCAGGGTAGAATCTAGAGCCAGGAGTTGGAAGACAGTCATGGAACTGGACGATTCTCATCTTCCGCCTCTTATGTCTGCCTCTTTTGATATCTCTGTGCCTTTCTGTTGAAAAAGAATGTCTACAGTAGTAGGATGAGGGTCCAGGTGCAAGTCTGGGCAAAAAATAAGATCCAGTGCAAAGAAGGTCTGGAGGCATGGCTCAATAGCCAATAGTATCTATCAATCATCTAATCTACTAAAGCCTGCTTCAGTCAGTTTATGCAGCAGTTAAAGAGACAACAGAACATAATGCATGTAAATATTTTAGAAAATGATTCCGAACATAATTTATCTTTTGTAATTTACCAATGTGCCAGGCATCGTCTACTATCTATCTATCTATCTATCTATCTATCTATCTATCTATCTATCTATCTATCTCCATTTTACTCCTCCCAAATGAAGGCAATATTATCTTCATTCTACTTAGGTAAAAACAACCCTGAAATCCAGGGACAAAACTGCCTTGTCCACACACAGCCATCCCTTCACCCCGAATTCCAAATCCATAAATTCCTCCTCCACCAAGGCTGACACTCAATTAATCAAGAGACCGAGCAATGATCCCCTGCAGGTAAAATACTGCTCTATTCCAGCAAATCCCCTGCTCCAGGCTCTTTGGGTCCTATGGTGACGACACTGGATCTGGATCCACCCACAATCCTGGACAAACCCAACACAACTAGAGAATTCTAGACTATCCCACCATGCGGAATCCAAGGAATACATTTTAATCCAGCAATAAACTTTCAGCACTTTATTTCAGAGCTCCAGTCATTGCCCAAGTCCGTTTTGACTGGTCAGTGTTGTGCTGGAGTAGTGACTAAATACATTATCGTGTCATCACAGCTTTGAGCCATACTATGGTTATCTATCTCCAGTGGGCTTATTAAAACAAAGCGCCTCTGATTAATCCCCAAGCAAATTAAACAGTCATGGAAATGGCTACAGAACAAGCCTCGTAACCGGGACTCTTGCTTAGGTCTGTTGTAATGGCAATAACTTCTGTTTCCAGTAAATTCTAAGATCTGGGGAAACAACACAAGATCTTCTGTCTCACCCTGCTGGACAACAGGTGGACTTTCCAGAGAACAACGTCAACATCTAGCTCTTGAGACCGCATTTCATAACCCTGAAAATCTTTCACTTTGGAACCTGAGAGGAAGAAGCGAAGCGAGTGCAACTTTAATTTCCTCAACTACTTGAAACTCAGCCTCTGAGGATGCTATCTAGCTCTGTTTTCCCTTGTATCACCTGACCCAGTGTTTATTCCATGATGTTTTAATCCACTAATTAAAAAATAATGATTAGTGTGAATTTTAAAAAATGAGTGTGTGTATGTGTGTATGTGCATATGTATATGTCGGTGCTAAGACTTTAACTCAGGGCATCTCCTTCTCACATGGATTATTCCTTTAAAATTGATGTTCCACCACCTGAGACATACCTCCACTGATGGGTTTTTGCTAGCTAATTGGAGATAAGTCTCATGGATTTTCCTGTCTGGGCTGGCTCCAAACCACAGTCCTCAGATCTCAGCCTCCTGTGTAGCTAGGATTACAGGTGTGAGCCACAATCACCCAGTTACACGTTTTCTTTACAGCATGACAATAAATGAGTAAGAGTATGTCTAGACAAAAAGAGATGGTAATTTTATAAGTGAATGCGCCATTATTAAAATAAAAGTATTCAGTCATATACCATCTGAAAATAACTTTGTACAGCATGAAGACTATGTCCTCACTTGTGGAGATAATGATGGTCTGTGCAAGATTTAAGGCTATCATATTAGCCAAATAGGGTTTGCATTCCTTCTCTGCTACTTACCAAGTCATGTGACCTTGGACCAGAATCTTACTCTTGTTAAACTTTTAATATAAACATATAACAGCAGAGTCCATTTACATCGAGGAAATCAATAAATATAAGGTTGTTTATGCAGTACTTGACATCTAACAAGCAAGCAATTAACTGATTTAATTTGGATATTCTAAACCAAATAGTGGTTCCTAGTGAAACCTTAAAACCAGCTCAACCGTAAATGAAAAGTGTCCTTACACTAAGGTTTTTCTAAAACTGAGATTTTTCCTAGGGTCTCTGTCTATAGTTTATCAACTCCTTTGCTCCAATTCTCCTTTAGGTGTTTGGATTCTTGAATTTCATCCTCTGGGCTGGAAACATATGGTTTGTCTTCAAGGAGACCGGCTGGCATTCCTCAGGACAGAGATATCTTTCGGATCCCATGGAGAAGCACTCTAGCAGCTACAATCAAGGCAGTTACAACCAAGAAAGTTATGGGTCACGTGGTGGGTATAGCCAGCAGGCAAATCTGGGGCAATCCTCTGATGAGTTTGGTCAACAGCCTACTGGCCCCACTTCTTTTACCAATCAGATTTAATCGAGTAGCTTTTGCCTCCTCCTGGAGAAGAAGCCTCACCACCTTCCATTTTGGTGGCAGAAGAGTTTTTTAAGAGTTTCGATCAGTTATTAATGCATAATAGGTTGAATGTAAATTGGAGATCTGTCTTCCTCATTAAGGCAGAAAGGCCTGGGCCCGTGATAAATGGTACTTAGAGAAGAGATGACATGTGGAGATACATTATTCATCACAAACGGCTAATTGGAGAGTACCTTGTTATATACAAAGATACTTTAGGGTCATTTTGTATGTGCATTGAGATAGTAGGAACATTTTTTAGCTTAAAGTCTCTAATATGTAATATGCATAGAGCCAATTAAATAGCAGTGAGTTTTCTGATGCATTTGATGCACAGGACGTTTAAACAATTCCTAGAAGACAATTTGGTGTGTTGCAATGTACCACAACATGCATGTATTATTACTTTTTAGTTTTAGACCCAGTAGGACTGCGCGTTTCTATTTGTTTCAGACAGTTTCTCTGTATTTTTCTCACTTGATAAACCAATGCTCATATGATTTAATGCATGGATGAGCAGTTTCTCACACAGTAAACATTTGGCTGTATTTATGAAGACTTTCCAGTTTGCATCATGAATTTGTTCAATGGATATTTAAAGAAATATATTCATAACTTTGTATACTTTGCAAATTTGTCTTTGATGTTACCCAAGTTCTGATTGCATTGCATTGTGGGTGGGTTTTTTCCCTATTAGAAGACAGTGTTACATATGGTAACTGTCTAGTATTTATCCTAGTTATTCTGCTAACTATTTACATTCTTGTAACTTAGTGTTTTGTGGCTCTTCTTCTGTGGACCATGACTAGCAAGGCCCAATAACTCTGTGCTTATGACGTGGTATTTTCTCAGAACTCTGGAAATGCAGAATAGATAAAATAGTTCAGATGCTGATGTGTTGAAGAATTAGTCTAGGAAGAGTATGCAAAAGACCTATATGACCAGCCAATTGTTTAAAACCTATTTATTTTCAAGCTAATTATTTTCCTCCATCCAGTTATTCAAAATTCTGACACATTAAACAAAATTACTAATCCTGAATTGAGTGCAACACATCAATTAAAAATGGCTTCTGTGTATCAGTCTGTATCCCAGGAGGATTTCTCCTGAAACATACCCTGGAATGTATTCATTCTTAAGAAAATACCAGTCTTTCTTCTTTATTTAATTCAATTGAAATACCAGGGACCAACAGGAAGGGCAAAATGAGCATCTGTATTTCTAGACAAGAGTTCTGATCAATGTACAAACTCAATGTGTGATCTGTGATCTCCGAAGCATTATAGCACAAAACAGCCTTGTCTTTGATGATATCTGTAATCAAATCAGTTTCTTGATCCTGTGGGATAAACCTGTATTGTGATATCTATTTGACCTTAATAAAGTTATTGCATACAATGCTGCTGAGCAATGAAAGGACCTTGATGATGGAACCTGTTTGGCTGCAGCAACAAGAAAACAAGGGTTAAATATAACACCTCCACCCTCCCCTTTCCTTGATTCCTGAGCCCAGTGTTGCTCATTCAATCCTCCCACAGTTCTAGGACTTTGCATGCAGAATCACTGTTCCAGTCATTGGGGCTACAAGAATAAGCAAAATCAGGAACACTGTCCTCATCATACATTCTGTTAGAAGAACCCTACTTGAAAATAACTGTGCGTTAGCCAGGAGTTCACATCTGTAATCCTAGCTACTCAGGAGGCTGACATCTGAGCACTGTGGTTCAAAGCCAGCCCAGGAAGGAAAGTCTCTGAGACTCTTATCTCCAATTAACCAACAAAAAGCCACAAGTGAAGCTGTGGCTCAATTGGAAGAGCACTAGCCTTGAGTGAAAAGGCTAAGGGACAGCACCCAGGCCCTCAGTTCAAGCCATAGTTAGAAATACCGTCTTCCTCAGAAAGCTAAGGAAAAGCATTGAAAGATTTTTAAAGCAAGGGAAGAGCATAAGGAGATCAGCATTCGGAAGGACTCCAGATGGAAGAAAACTAGAGAAAAACTAGAGAAAAGGACATCCTAAATATAAATAAACAAGCCTCGATTCCTAACCTCCATTTAAGCAGAGGAATAGGAATGGAGGAAGGAGAGTTGGACAAAATCCCTCCTTTGTTCTCCCCTATTTCCTGGGATGCTGGCTGCTTCCTTCAGCTCAGTACATTTCAGGAGGAGAATATAGCTTTTACCCTTTTAAACTGTCATGAAATCTCCAGTGTGGTGGACTCTTCTGTTCAGCAGTGATTTTAACCAACCTTCAGAAAAATTCTATCCAGATTAGAGAAAGAGACAAGCTCCCCAGTCCACTGCAAATTTGAAGTATAAGAGCTTCTATAATCCAAGAGGGATTTCACTAAACAGATTTTATTCTTTTGAGTTTCAAGCAGTAAATGATGGCCTTTAAAAAAAAAAAAGAGGTCAGGCACCAGTCTTACATCTGTAATCCTAGCTACTCAGGAGGCTGAGATCGAGGTTCAAGATTCAAAGCCTGGGCAGGAAAGTCCACGAGACTCTTATCTCCAATTAATCACCAAAAAGCCAGGAATGGAGCTGTGGCTCAAGTGGTAGAGTGCTAGCCTTGAGAAAAAGAAAAGTTCAGGGACAGTGCTCAGGCCCTGAGTTCAAGCCCCAAGACCAGCACAAAAAGAAAGAAGGAAGCAAAGAAATAAGAGAGGGGGGGGAAGGAAGGAAGGAAGGAAGGAAGGAAGGAAGGAAAGAAGGAAGGAAAGAGGGAAGGAGGGAAGGGGGAGGGAGGGAGGGAGAGAGAGATCAAAGAAAGAAATCAGGAATAGTCAGCAGGTAAGCTTGGGTCTTTGTGTCTATGACTATGTATCTGTCTAGGAATCGCAACTTCACTACTTGCCTGCAGGGTTTCAGGCATTAATTCGCTGCCTCAAGTCTTCATTTCCTCAGGAGCAGGGAAGACACATGCGTACAGGGTGGACTCTGAGACCAGACCACCTATGCTGCTTCTGAACTTACTTTCCCTTTTCTCCTCAATGCCTGCTCCAAAGCCCTGGCACTTTGCTACAGCCTTAATTGACAAGCACCTGCAGTCCAGAAGTGTAAGAAGATTAATCCTGGGGAACAGTAAAGACACTACTCAGTCATTTGGTTGTCCTATCTATTAATGCCAAGGGGCTCAGATAGTACTCTCAGTGTGAAAGGACCGATACTAGAGAGGAAAAGGCAAGCCGTGTGGAGGGGTTAAAGCATCTTCTAGCACACAACAGCTGTGCCTGCATGTGAGCTCTGATTTGGTGCAGATGTTTGTTTGGCAGGTGATTTCACGAGGTAGAGTGAGCAGAGTGACACAGAGGAGAGGAGAAGCCATAAAAGGGTATTAGTGGGATGTTGGTGAAGGCAGGAAAAACTTTGCTCCATCAGGATCTCTAAGGAGTATCCAGAATGACTCTGGTTTTCCCATCAAGGAGCAGGAAGTGGACTTTATTTTTGTTTTTGTGGTCTACCCACCTGCAATTCTAATCAGCATAGTTTGCCTACAGAGACACTATCTTTTTCTCATTTCCAGGTTATCCTTGCTAGTAGACTAAACAGACTTGTAGGATTTCAGACAAAGAACTGAGCCCTAATATCAGTCAGGCAGTAGAGAGAGGAGGAGACAGCACACTTCCTACCTCAACCCCACTCCCTGTCACATCTGGGCAGAGTGAGCTTAAGAAAGGGTATGGGGCCAGTACTGTTGGCTCAAGCCTGTAATCCTAGCTACTCAGGAGGCTGAGATTTGAGAATCACAGTTCAAAGCCAGCCCAGGCAGTTAAGTCCATGACATTCTTATCACATTCTTATTGCCAATTAACCACCAGAAAACCAGAAATGTCACTGTGTCTCAAAGTGGTAGCCTTGCACAAAATAGCTCAGGGATAGTTTCCCAGGCCCCAAGTTCAAGTTCCATGAATGACCAAAACAAGGGGGGCGGGGGAGGTAGAGGGGAGTCCTGGAATATGCAAGCATGCGGGAGGTTAGTGTCCACACAGGCTGGAATTGTTCTTCAAGCTGTGGCTGAAATGAGAGGCTCACGAAAGTGACCTCAGGTTGATACGGAGCCACCTACCTCAGGGATCAATGAAAGGTGGAGTCTTAGGCCTGGTGGGTTTTAGAACGGACTTCCAAGGATGGGTGGTAGAGCTTCCACTTTCAGATGGAAACCCACCTCTACGAATAATACCTATTGGATACAAAAAGGCTAAGGGGATAAGGTGAACTGAAGCTCTTTTCCTGGAAGTCTTACATTTCTTTGAAAGCACTTTAGGTCAAGTTGAGTAGTTCCTTTAAATGGACTGTTTCCTCCCTCCCCCCTCCCATGTCTGGTTTATTGACAAAGCCCTTGAAGGCAGTTGTAATAAGGCTAAGAGGTTTCCCAGTGGTGGAGGAAAACTTTGTCTTTGAGTTTCTGTCCTTTTATTTATGCATTGATTGGTTGACCTCTTGTACCATGGGGGAGTCTAATTAGTGTGCAGAGTGAGCTCATTCACTGACTCTATGGTCTTAGTCAACTCTCTCCTGTCTAGAAACAATCTCAACTGAGATTGCTTTTGTTGACAATTTAATGGACTCACATTGTTCTATAGAGAAAAGAAAAGGTGTTTTGAAAAATGGAACCATTTTCATATTTTAAATATTTTTCCTTCTTTCCTGTGAACTGGTATTTCTTCGCATGTGCTATTTTTCCTCTGGGCTCTTCACATGATCAAGTCTATGATGATTGATCTCCACAGCTCTATTACTTCCAGAATTTTCCATAGCTGACAAGTTAGCCCAAGTATAATCACCCATTTCTATATATACTTTGTTAATCTAGTACTCTCAGAGTTCTTACATAATTAAAATTTGTGACTTTGATGCTATACATTTTCATAGTGTGTGGCTACATGTTCTTATGACATTTAGGAGCTCAGCACCATATGCATTCACTAGAAACACATGTTACACATAGATGCCTCAGATGAGACCTGAGGTCAGATCTGTGTGAGAGAGCTGAGAGGTACAGCCTATCTTTGAGTAAAGGTAGATATTATTTACAATATAAACATACAAATTCATAGCCGCATGTGTAAGCATCACCTTCCTCTTGAGGTTA